ACCAGGGCTTTCGAATGAACCCACTTTTAGCTTTCACAGACACCTTGGTGACGAGTTATGCCGAATATACCGTTTCACCAAAAACGCGGCGGAACCGGTAAATTACGATTTGTCGTGCCCCCACCACCGCTGTGAAAAAAAAATACTTCTTTTTGGAATTTTCCTTGAAACAAACTGGTTCTAAATCACCTGGTTCAGAACTCTTTTTTGCCACTCCCTAGACAGAAATAAACCAAGTTTCAAATTTCAAAAAAATCGCGGCCGAACCACCGCTTGGGCCGCGTCGCACACAGCCGCCGGTAGGTGTACACATGTTGTTGTGAAGACCGGCAACCAAATGGAACTCGACCAAGAGAGGGTCTCCTGCCTGCAGCAGTTGGTTCCCGACGGATACACGCTGCGCGACAAGCTCAGCATCGAGAGACAGAAGCCACGAAAGTATCGGTTAGTGCTGCACTCAAGGTCGCGAGCCGACAATACTGAGTTGAAATGGCGGAGCCGCTGGATCACGTCTGGGAAGCCACGCGGCCGCGACACCGTCGCGGAGGGAATCATCATAGACGAGGTGACTGCTGCTGACTAGGATGCCGTTCAACTCAAGAACTCAGCGTACGCCCCGGTGCAGAGAGGACCACCGCGGGATTCAACAGCACCCGCAGTTCGAGCCGCAGCGCCAGCCGTTGGTTCATTACAAGAACCCGGTCTCGCAGGCGCGCAAAGATCGCGAGATCCAAATTGGGGTGGACAACGGGACGACAGTGGGCGGCCCTTTGGAAAGTTGGGGAGGGCGGCCCGGCGGATGCGTGCGTTGACACTTCGGCAGGAACTAGAGGAGGCCGTTCCTGGGGCATTCAACCTCTCTGCAAGCAGTCTGGAAGAAGTCGTGCGGGCGTGGATAGAGTTCGAACCCGAGTGGGCCGAAGAGGCGAAGAGGAGATACCTGAACAAGGGCACGTACAGCACATCTCAAGCTGCAAAAAAGATTAGGCGTGCGAATGGGGCGGAGATGAAAGCTCGGGTGCTGACGGGAGGCGGGCCATGCCTCTCTACCAGGACGAGAGCATATTTCGAGGTTAGTTTCAAACGGAGCAAAGCGGGTTCGATAATTTAGGTGTAAATACCGGGCGCGAACAGTAATTTTGCTCGCAATTCAATTGTGGGACTTTAAATTTAATCACACATGTTGACAGCGCCACATCTGCCGCCCCTAAATTGTCGGTTTCTTGTTTGTATTTGCAGCCAACGACGACCAGAGGCGCGCGTGGTATCGGGACGGCCAGCATGTGCCCGTGAAGAAGTCACAAGGCCAGGGGAT